TCGATCAGGTACGTCGCATCCACACTGAGAATCGGTACCATTTGCTTGGACACGTCCACTTCCGTGTAACCGTCCCGGTCACCTTCCGCGAATGGCGTGAACACGGTCAAATTGTGACCACGGTCAGTCAACGGCTTTAGAACGGCTCGCATCACGTTCCAGTGGCTCTTGCCCGAGATCGTCAGAACCGCCAGGATGTTTGCAGCGTCCGCCGGCGTCCACTGAATCGTCGAGGAGCATGCACAGAACACAGCCAACACAGTCGCGATGCTGGACATGTTTTTCCTCATGTTGTTTCGGTTATTAACGGGACTACAATACAGAAGTGTGAAAAAACAATTATCATTACTATATTAAGGTCAAATGTAATGGTGGTGTAATAAAATAAAACCAAGTCAAGTTATTGTAAGTTAAGTGAACCCAAGATCGTTATGATGTTGAAGTTAACGATACAAATAATACATTTAACTCGATAAGTTATAAGTTAGTATGAGAAAATTTAAGTTTTACCCAGTTAAAAAAAATTTATTTATTTATTTATTTATTTATTTGATTAGTGTTTACGTGAATAGTGGATCATAAACAAAGTATAATTATGCATTATATAGGTAATATTAACTTATCCGGTTACATAACTTAAATCATAATAATATAATTACTATTATTCTAATATTCAATTATTTTTTATCTAAAACCGTATGTACAGTAATTTATTAATACATGTAACCATTAAAACCTAAAATTTCAAAAACATTTTTTATATGAATCATTTTGAATCAATCAATTGAAAAGGAAAGCTATTTTAACAGTAAATTAAACTAGGTATTCAGTTTTAAAAAATTAACTTTGTTATTATAGTTCATGCCGTCCTTTGATTAACAATATCATTATTATTATTGTTATTGTTCCAGGCATAAACTCAACCAATTATATTCATTTATTAATTTTAACATCGATTTACAATTATTTAAAATATATATTATGTTATCAAAGATTGATTTTACTTACTTATGAAATGTCAAAGATGAACTGGTTCAATTAAGTATCAATACAAAACTAAAGCAGAAACCACTGGACAAAGGTTTATGATGACATAGTTATTGATAATCCTTACAATCTATTATGATACTTATCACGATTAATTACGACTCAGTCGAATTCCCCCGTCGCCGACCCATCCAAGACGGTCCACAAGTCGGTGGTCACCGTGAATCATGTCGCAACGCATCTAGCTGAAGTTATTTTCTAAGACCGTGATCTAAGTAATGAACATGAAAAACAGCTGCTTAACTAACAATCTGACAAAGACTAGGTCCATAGTGTAGTCGCTATCAATTGTACGCATGTTAAATGAATGAACTATAGAATCTAAGTGTTACTCATTTATTTACATAGTATACATTGTATAATATATTACAATACTATATATTACCTGTACAGGGAAATCACAGATAATGCTACTGTTATGATGTGCTAGGTGCTCATTTATCATGTATAATTTTATCAACTCATTAACTTTATCAATTATTGAACTATCAGTCCTATTATATACATTTTAATAATAACTAATAAGTATAAATAAAAACGAATGTATACATAATTTGGCACTGTGAAATGTATAAACTAGAATGATTAAGATTTAGATTTATCTGAACACAACTTCTAGCCCCGACTAAAGGAACTATAAATTACTACTATAATTGCTTGTCTTATATGATGATACGATCGGATTCAATAATGCACAGGATAATCCCATCAAATGTGTAAAGGTACGCATCATAATTTTTACAATTTCAATAAAAGAGTTTAGGGTACCAACTAAAAAAGAATCTTCTATATTAAACCCTAACCTATATTAAGCTCCAGACCATGTATTACTAGACTATCAATCAGTGTATGGAAACCGACATAACATAGAGCGCACTTTTTGATTACTCGATTACTCGTGCATATAGTAGTGTCGGGTAGTAGTGTAACTAATGTAAGTGATATAGATATATGGATTATTGTATTTTGTCGTCAAGACAGCCTACATAACTGCGAGATGTATTGTTAAGCCATTCATCTGATTCATCATTCTGTTGTTTTGCACCGTTCTTGTCTAGTAAGTATTAGTCATTTAGTATAAGTTCCATGCTCCACACTAATAGACTATATTATGATTTTGGTATGACGAGGAAAAAGTAACGATGATAACAAAAACATTTTGATTTGCGTTACTCAGCTATTTATATTTATTTCAAAAATTGAAAACATAAATAGTTATATTTAATATATTGATATAGAATCGTCGAAGTGCCCATCTTTCGGCGTTGAAAAATAATTTACAAAAATATAATATATTCTTGAATTATTCAGTACCTGATATTCAATCAAGACATGAATCGCAAAATACAAAAACTATATTGTTTTTTTAGCAAATTCGTTGAGACTTGAGAATAGTAAGAATATACGTACAGTAAACACGACTGATTATTCGTGTAGTTTTATTTCATTCACATTTTGCTTTGAGGTTATAGAAATATTTAATAATGTGTTTACAAATCATTTTTAGATCATAATAAAAATAAACTATGAACAATATGACAAACGCAATAAATAAAAATGTGAAAATCACATCAACCAAAAAATATTCAAACCATATTAGACTAAGAGCTTGAGATTTTAAATTTGGTAATCCGTTATGCCGTAAAACGTACTCCGTCCAGTAGACCACTGACTCCGCTGGTGTCATAGGTCGGTCTTTGAATAGTTTGGAAGCGATTTTAGTTTGTCTGGTACCTGTAAACGTAAAATGGAGAGTACAATTTTCCCGGTTTATTGAAAGACATAAAATCGCTCACCTCTCTTCGTTCATAATCTCCAAGACGGCGTTTAAAAACGTTTCTTCGGTAACAGATAACAGGTCCATAGATATTGCCATCCCGACGTCAACCAGATTGTCAATATATCTCGGTTGGTCGTTGTAAATGGGAAAACCGAGTCCAGGTACAACGGCGTCCAGGTTAGTAAATTCCAGATATTCCTCCGTGACTGATAAAAAGTTTCCCTTTGGGATGCACTACACGATAAATTTGGATTTCAAACGTTTTACAACTAATTATTTTAAAAATGCAACAATTGTCATGATTCGTTTAGCCCGTACAAAGTATGTCTCGTTGTGGAAGCCATTTACACCAAAGGCACACAGAGCACAGTGGCCTCGTACGCCACGCACTCGGACACCAACGGTTCGGTGACGACTGAGTAGAATTTCCGACTCTCCGCCCTATCCAGGATGTCCACCGTTGGTCATTGTCAATCATGTCACAACTTATCCGGGTGAAGTTAACCATGCTCGGAATCGTTTTCCGTATGGAGCTGAACTTTTCGATCAGGAACTTTGCGTCCATGGCAAGGAACATTAAAACTTTCTTTGATATGTCCACCTCCGTGTAACCAGGGCGGTCACCGTCTAAAAACAGTGTAAACACGATTACGGTGTGGCCGTGGTCAGTCAACGCCCGCAACACTGCTCTCATCACGTTCCAGTGACTTTTGCCCGCGATCGACTGCGCCGCTAAGATGTTCGAGGCACTGAAAGGCGTCCACAGGAGCAGTGCGGACCATGCGCACAACGCAATCAACACCCCCGAGAAACTCGACATGATGATTTTTTTTCCCCGTTCCAGTATTTTGTCAAACGATACAATATGTATCTAATCATATATTGAATTTTAATTTTAAATACTAAAGATGTGAGTTGGTTAATTTTACCAAATCATTTTTGACAGGTAAATATTATTTTACCCAAAAATGTGCCTGTAAAACCTCAAATTAAATGTCTTAACGAGGCAAATATCTATAACATACGAATAAAATATTGAAATAGTTTATACAAAATGTAAACGGTCCTAACGTTTAACTGATATTAAAATATTCTAGAGGTAGGTACTACCATTGATTACTATTTGTATTTTTAATCACCTCTGTTAATACATTTTATTTGGTCCACATCGTGGTCTGTGGCAATTAATGGGTAATCAACTATTATTTAATTTTGTTCATTGTTCAATAAGCTTTTATTTATCGGAACATACTTAAAATAAGACTTTATATTGCATTAGCCACCTGAAGAAAAGGTATCTGTTGAATGAAAGTATTAATCTAACTTATTCTTATAGCAAATATATTTATTTAAAAAAAACAAAATCAGGTTACATAGGTACTATGTTTTAAATAATATATAAATAAACAATTTTTATATTTTTTCACTCTCACACTATAATAACTTTAATACATTAATATTTGAGCTTAAATAGCATTCAATCACTTATATCGTATGAAATTAATTGTAAATGTAATGATTTATGAATAAGCATAATAATGTCCCATTCTTCCACAGCCATGATCCATGAATCCATGATAGTAAAATCAAAAATACTCAATTGTTATGTTTAGTAAAAATATATGTATAACTAATATATCAATACTGATTAGAAATTTAGAAACTACATATAATTTTACATGGTACACGATCTTTATTTTTTCCAATAAAATGAAATAATAACTCCCTCAAATACAATTAAAACTAAGTATCCCATCTCAAAATATTGTGCAAATTACCTACATTTTTAGTTCAAGGAGTATGCTAATAACAAAAACTGCAATGTGCAATGTGCATGTGATATTAAATATTATTTCGAGTTAAATGATCATATAAAAGTATAAAACTCAATAATAAAAATATAATAATCATGCAATTGACAAATAATGGCTACTACTCTAAGGAAGAGTAAATTGGTCCAGAGCCTACACAATTCTAAATCTAGCACTGGGTGTCTGGATACACTCTCAATTATAACGAAAAGTTGTGGTAGGTACTTAGTACAGCAAACCACTGATGAATCACCCATCAACTACAAAATACTCAAAATGATCTATTCTCACAAAAATAAAAATGTACAACTGCACTAGTTAGGTTTATTAATTATTTGAATAAAATTACATGGATTGTTATTATCGAATTATTAATTAACTATGTAATGAATCACAGCACAATACATCTTAGGAAAGAGTTCAATAAAATAAGTATATACTATTACCATAAAAATTATTTTATTTTATTCACGTTTTGCTTTTGTATAATGAAAATATTTAAATATTTGTTTATACATAATTTGTAGGCAATAATAAATTACAAATAAAACGATAAGCACAATAAATAATAATGTGCAAATAATATCAATCAAAAAATATTGATACCACGAAAGACTCAGGGCGTGAGATTTTAAATGTGGATCTCCGTTATGACGTATTATGTACTCAGTCCAGTAAACCACTGAGTCCGCCGGTGACATGGGTCGGTCTTTGAATCGTTTGGAAGCAATTTTAGCGTTTTTCCGGTATCTGCAAACGGTCAAAGACAAATATTATTATATTATTTTATAAAAACCGAACAATTTTTACTTCTCGTCGTTGACAATCTGTAAAACGGCGTTTAAAAAAGTCTCTTCGGTAACAGATAACAAGTCCATAGAGATCGCCATTCCAGCTTCAACTAGATTGCCAATATTTCTCGGTTGGTCGTAGAAAAACGGAAATCCGAGTACAGGCACACCCGCGTCCACAGCTTCGTACACCCCGGATATGCCTCCATGACTTATGAACAGTTTTACATTGGGATGCACTTAACATAATTTAATCATATATTATTAATCAATAGTACGAGATATTGTTTAGTACAATACTGTAGTGTATATGACGTCATGATTTAATTATCTCGGCACTTACCTAGTATATCACGTTGCGGAAACCATTTCCGAGTCATCACGTTTTTCGGTTTGTCAACCATTTCACCTTCATATTTCCAAAGCACCTTTTGCGGAACCTGTGCGAACACCTCTCGTAAAGCGCTCTGAACATTTTCCGGTAGCGACTCCATTGAAATCACCGATCCGAACGTGAAGTAAATCACCCCATGAGGTGCGTCCTCAATGAACTCCAAAATTTCCTGTGAACATGTAAACCAATCGCATAAGTTAACTCTTCAAAATCAAAATATCCTAACGTAAGTTTAGTTCCGCGTACATAGTGTTCATTCTAATTGTCCCTACAACAGTTAACATTTTAAAAATTAACAATAGTTAAACCCAGTTACATGAATTAATTTAATGTAATACAATAGCATTAGAAGATTATTTTTAAACCGTAAAAATATTTAATTTAATAGTACAAACAAAAATAAAAATAATATTACATGTATATCAATTTATATGCATAAATACATTAGTGGAAACATGATTTTTAAATGAGTAAAAGAAAATATAACAAAAAGGATCGATATTGAAATTATTTACAAAGTTCGTGATTCTTAAGAGTGGTGTGTTAATAGCATAATATTGAGTAGTTTGAGATTTTAAATAAAATAGATGTGTTAATCTGATGTGAGCTGAGGGAACATTGAAAGATAAACGGCTTAAGAAGTTAGGACAGTCTATATAGTTATTTAATAACTTAAAAATGAGATATAAATCAAACCTGATTCTGCGGTGTTCCAGGGTTTCTAGATTTTAATAAATAAGTGAAGGTTGGTAAGGTTATGGGATATTATAGTACTAATAGTACTATGTATAGGTCTATATACTATAATATTATAATAATTATTCATTTATTTATTTATAGAATATACCGGAATATGCTCTTTTTACAAAGCCATGGTAATTAAGTACAGAGAACAAAAAGAGAAATAAATAAAAGTTTTACCAACAATTCGTATGAATTATATGATAACTATAAATTTAAAAAAAAATACTCATAAAATAAGGGATCTGCATTTGCACGAGACATTAACCGCCTGATTGATTCATTAAACATTTAGTTAGGTAGTGATGGAGTGAGGAATAAAAAAGGAGCAGTTGTTCTAGTTGCATACTGGGAAACCCTAAAGCTTAACAAGGAGACAAGGACTGTAGAACTTACTTTATCGTCCAAAAGCCCTTTCGGGAAAGTTGTACCCTCGGAATGCCTGCGTTCAGCCAGAGATGACAAATTTACTACACTAGCAATGTGGGCATAGTCATATGGCTTACACAGAATACTCAACAAATGGCTGGAGAATCGCAAAAACTTACGCTGTACCCTTTCAAGTTGACTAGAGTCGCAGGCAGTAACGGGATCCCAAATAATTGCACCATATTCGAAGATTTTACGGGCAAGAGCACAAATTAATAGAGACTTAATGCATATTACCCGTCGAAAATTGTTGATAGTTATAAATTATAAAATATTATTAGGGGTATATCAAGTATTCGAATACCTTTGGTATCGGTCCTGGTGGAGTCAGATGGATCCCACCAATTTGCACGATTCCCGGTGTCAGTGGCCTTGGAGGTTCTGTGATGAAGTGCGTGTTGGTGAAAGTCAACGACGGTCTGACCAGGTCCACAGCGTCGAACAATCGCGGTTCGGATTTCCGGAGCCACCACTCGTTGCTCCACAACAACCATGAACCGTAAACCGTTTGCAGCACGTTAGTGAAACGGTTGGCTAACGTCTTGGGAACAGCGTAATTGGCCAGCACGTTGGAGACAGCCGCCGGATTGGGGAAGTGGCCAAAGAATGAACGTTCCGTGTAAGTGACGATCGGCGACGGGACAACGTATATGGTTGGTACGCGGAGAACGGTGGCCACGTACGACACGCAATCTGACCATATCGCATCGACGAACACCACGTCGAATAACCGAGAACGGCCAATTAAGATCTCTTGCATTTGAGGGTGATCGAAAATGACTCCACAGTTGGTCTTAGTCGAGTTCACGATGTATGAGATCACCTTTCGCGTGGATTGGATACTCGTAATGAGCGACATGTTTATGCCGACCCTCACCTCCAGACCAGCCGAAACATCCACCTCCGTGTAACCATCGCGGTCCCCATCTATGAACGGCGTGAAGACAGTCACTGTGTGGCCACGGTCAGTCAACGCCCGCAGCACTCCCTGCATCACGTTCCAGTGGGACTTACCCGGAATCGTCTGCACCGCCAGAATGTTCGCGGCACCGGCAGGCGTCCACTGCAGAAGCACCGCTGGCCACGCGAAAAACGCTATGTAAAGGACCACGAATCTCGAAGTCATGGCTTGCAGTGCAGGATCTAGAGTGGCCGGACTGTACTACTAATATTAGAGTCCTCATAAACTAAAAAAATTGCAATTTTCTATTAGTCTTAATATGATGATGAGTCAATTAAATTTTGTTCGATGTTGATGAAAGTGAAAATGGGCTTAAAAATGGATTCAACGTGCTGCAACTAATAATTATTGTTAGGTGTAGTAACTACTATACTGAATTTAGTGTCAAGTTTTGGTGTGTGTTTTGGTAAATCAAATTCCGAAAATCCCCTCCACCCCTCTACTTTTTATTTTTTGAATTCATCAGGCTGAATTATTTAAGTTTGAATTGTGAATTGTTCTGATATACATACTATTATTCTGTTATTCAACAATGTACAATACGTTTTTTTATTTTAGTTTCTGAGCTGAGAAATGAATGTATTGATTTTACGTAAAATAATCATTGTACAATGATGTAGGTTTTTTTATTTCTTTATTTTTTTTTTTGTCTATCATCAAGGTTTTGGACAGTAAAAATGCTCTGATTTCTTCAACAGTAGTTTCTTTATACAAGGTTCCTCGTAAGTTATTAGTGGAAATTAAAAAAAAAAGTTGAGCTTTAATCTACAATGATTTTTTATGAGCATTTCAACTTAGAATTTTGACAAAAATTCGTAAAATTACGAAAATTATTTTGTGTTAGAAATTCATAAAAAATGTTCTTTTTATATCTCAGATTAAAAAATGTACTATACAAGATTTCTTATAAGTTTGTCTACCTTTATCAAACAAAAAATTTCTACACATTGAACATTTTCAAATATTTTGACTAGTTTTAAGCTGTGGACGGACATTTTCAATTTTCATTTTTTTCCAAAGAATGTCAACACAATTTTATTGGTTGGGTCAAAAAGCATTAAAATGTAATACAAGAATCTTGATATATTATTTCAATATCATTTGAAAAATATTAAAAATACATAGGTACAATTTGTTTAAAAGCATTTAAAGTTCAATTGTCTACAACATTTATCAAATTGAAAATTGAAGTATAATTTTGTAGTTTAAAGCTTATAAATTTTTTAATTTGTACAGCTAATAAGGATTGAAAATTTAAAAAAATGTTCCACTTAAGCAGTATTTTCTGCTTAGTAAAAATCTAAAAATATATTAATAAAGTTCTTTTTTATAGACATTTCAAGTTAAAATTTGAACAAAATTATATATTAACACAAAGAATAACGATTTTTGTCATGTTGCTGTTGTTCGGTTCCAAAACAGTCCAATTTTACATAAGAATATTTAATATATTTCCAGCATCACTGATAATTTAAAAATAATATTAATTCAACTTACCGGCTACCGTATTAATAATAAGTAATAACCATATAAAATATCCTAGACTGACATACTGTTCCCGCTCAGAATCGTTTTTCATATATATACAATGATATTATATTATTGAATTCAAATGTAATACCATCCATTACAGCGAGCTTCTATACACCTAATGTACAGCAAAACGATACCCACTTACCTGCTTTTTATTATTTAAAACATGTTAATATTGTTTTTTAAATTCATAAATCTGAATATTAGGTATGTGACTATATGCTACAATCACACATCTAAAATATAATATAACATTATTAATATAATATTACAATATAAGTACACCAATATATCACCATTCACCAGATTACCATATTTTAGATTAAATATGACTGTTTGAATATTTTTTTAAAAATTAGGATTGATTTAATTATTTTATAATTTTTATAAAATGCTACACTTATTTGTTTTTTTCAAGATTTAATAAATTTTTTTTAAAAAGAATATTGTTTAAAAAAAAAATATTTTTGCATATAAAAGATTATTTTGATGAAACTATAGAGCATAGAAACATTTTATTTTTCTAGTATCTCAAATTAGTAAGCAAATTATGTAAAAATTTGTGGCCACAAGTTCGAAATTTGTAACTAAAGTAGGTATAACCACCAAATATCAAATTTTGATTTGCGGTTGTCACTGTCAGTTGACTCAAGTAACCGAAACTTGAAAAAAATTCTTAGTTTCCATAACGATATGAAAGACGGTATGAGCGGTTAACCATTCTAAATTAGGTAGAATTAATTTTTTTGATAAATTTTCATGAATTTGGTGTATGGCATTTTTATTTTGTAACCAATTAAAATTTTTTTAGCGTAGTATTGACATTCATAATATAGGTCAGTCGCAGGTTAGTTACATTATATGGATATATGGCATATACTTACACTTACGATTAAAATATTTTAAACACAATAATTCATATGTTCTCGTTCAATACGTTTTTTTTCTTTATTTAGGTTTAGCCGTACATAAGTTATAAAATATAAAATATGAAAACAGAAAGGTACATTAGATAAAAAAATATGTTATAAATATTTTTCTTTAAATACAATTTGAAAACGATTTTTATAACTAATTAAAAGAAATTTTAAGAACACTATTATATTCAGTATCAAACTAACATAATAAATTAATATGAGGGTATTACTACATAACAATATATTATGCAAGTAATCATATTTTATAGTTTCATGTTTTAAAATTTTATCACCTAGTAATTTAAAATCGTGAATATTTTAATACCATAATCTTGTTTAGGTAGCTCATGTCCTTATTATATTATATTGATTAATTAGTATATACCGTATAATAGGTTATCAACTAACAAACGTATTATCGTTACCTATCATTAGAATTAATACTAAACTACAACTATTGAATTTAATACTTACCCGTACCCAAATATTTGTTCAATAAATTTTGGTTTTAGATTTAAATTCTCGCAACGAAAAAGTTTACAATATTATACAAAAGAATAATTTATGTTAAGTTCAAACTATGAACTCAATAGAATTTAATAATTTTCACTGCAGATATAATAATACTAGTTAAAAATATAAAGTTCAATTAAAAAAAAAAATCAGTCTTAGGTATAATATACGACATTGATCCATTCTAAAACTAATGTAACAATTTAAAATCGCTTAAAAATAATAATATCGTATAACTCGTACAACGAGAAAGTGTTGGAAATTTACTAAACGTTACTAGATCATGTATATTGTGTACTATAAACTGTGACTGTCACAAGTCTGGTTTGCATCATATCTTATCATTACCTACATAAAAGAGTTAGATATAATCGTATCAAATATCTAACAACAAAATTCATAAATTACGACTTTTAAATTACAAACTTATGACCATGATATGTTTTAAAATGTTTAGAACCACTTGTATATTTGTATATTTATTACCTGGCTATTAGAAGGTTAATAGTACGACCAGACCCTTTTCGTTTGCGATAAAATTTAGGGTACGTCGGGAGGCAATTTGTGTACAAAATATTATTGACCTTTTTGACCTCTCTTTTTGGTCTCTTCGTCCAGTATCCGAGAAAGACAGTTACCGGGTCACGGATTACCGTGAAAGCTTTCGAGGGGTTTTCAATACCCATCTCCGTTCTGTCTATGCGACCTCCAAGCCGCCGCCGATTTCCCTGGTCAGTACTTTTGAATTAGCATCATCCGTGATCATCAATACACCTCTTTATAACTCATATATTACACTTTGTATAGTAATTATGTAATGTGTATACTGTATACTTATAAGATAAAAGTTAATATTACATAATTCACAATAGGTTAAAGGCTGCAAGTATAATTTACTATAACTACATGTCAAAAATTACAATAAAACAATATTATGTTAGCATGGATTAAAGACATAGATAAAAAACATTGTTTTATTAATTATGTTGTTTAATTTGTAAATATTTAATTTTGTTAACATTTATATAAATTTCAACTTTTAAATTATTTTAATTAAAATAACAGTAGAATACAGGTAGTATTGTACTGTTATATACTATTCAGAAATAATATTAGGTTTATATTATATTTACTAATAACAAAGTATTCAAACTTGTATTTACATCATTTTAGCAAATGTAAAATTTTCATATTTAACTTTACATTTAATAATTAATAATAATAATTGATATTACTGATATTATTATTATGGCATTAGAAGGTAAAGTTATGGGTGAGCATAATAATGTGGTCCATAACAGTATATAATGTACAGATAGAGATAATAATAAGACTGTATTATATGTTTTCTTTCATTGATAAGGGCACACAACCGAGTATGGGGACTTCTAGGCAGGCCATAGAAGTACAGGGACAAAAGCCCAATATAAGAGCTATAATTTATGGCTAGTGTAAATTAGGACTTTCTTACATGCAGTTTATGAAGTAATGTAAATGAATAAGTTTTTTCCATTTATGCACCTTAATAAAATATTATTTATAAAGACCTGTGGTATCCAATAGGTATATGTCAGTTGTGCAAGTGAATTGCATTAGAAACCAATTAGATATACCAGATATACCAAAATGTTATATGAGTATAATACTATATTATGAATATGCATATATTGTATTCACAAAATATATATAATTCGTATAATATGTACAATATTGATTATACATGTACATAATTCCATTCTATTCAGATTTTTCTTTTGGGTTTTTCTTTATGGCAGTACTAAAAATATGTTTATAAATCAGTTTTAGAACATAATAAATTATGAACAAAACTACAAATGCGATGAATAAAAATGTGCAAACCACATCAACAGAAAAATATTGATACCACGAAAGACTCAGGGCGTGAGATTTTAAATGTGGAGCTCCGTTATGACGTAGAATGTACTCTGTCCAGTAAACCACTGACTTCGCCTGTGACATAGGTCGATCCTTGAACCGTTCAGAAGCAATTTTCGCGTTTTTCCGGTACCTACGAGTACAGTGGGTAATATTTTAAAAGTGTTATTGAATAGCCTAATATATCTCACCTGTCGTTGCTGACAATCTCCAAAACAGCGTTTAAAAACGTCTCTTCGGTAACAGATAACAAATCCATAGAGATCGCCATCCCGGCTTCAACTAGATTGCCAATATTTCTCGGTTGGTCGTAGTAAAAGGGGAATCCTAGTACAGGCACACCCCCATCTACAGCTTCGTAAACTCCAGATATACCTCCGTGACTGATAAACAGTTTCACATTAGGATGCACTATACAATATAATAACATCGGATAATATAATTCATGAACATTTGATAATACTATAGATAATCACAATATCATAGTCCAGTTTAAAACTAAATATAATATTTTCGTTATAGTTCAAATATATCAACACACCGAGTATATCGCGTTGCGGAAACCATTTCCTAGTCATCACGTTCTTCGGTTTGTTTGCCATTTCACCTTCGTATTTCCACAACACCTTTTGTGGAACACGAGCGAGAGCTTTCCGGAATGCGCTCTGAACATTTTCCGGTAACGACGACATGGAAACCACCGACCCGAACGTGAAGTAAATCACCCCATGAGGTGCATCTTCAATGAATTCCAAAATGTCCTGTCAACAAGTAAACCTGTTGCTTAAAAAAATATTCCGTGAAAATCATAACGAATAAGGTTAGGTCGCTTAGGATAAGCGCATTATATCTCGATAGTGTGTTGTGTGTGTATAAATGTGTATACAACGTGTG